CATGCCTATGTGTGATTTTATCTTGAATTTAACATTCTTACGAAAAAAATTGAAAAATTATAATGAACATGTAAAAGACGGTGCAAGAATTGGGCATTTTTTGGGACTTCTAATGCGAAAACAAACCACGGGCATTTTCAGATTAAAGTGAAAAGAATATCAAATTAGTCTAGTTAATACATATTTCTCGGATATCTATTAATATATAAAGAAAAAATGATATTTACGTGAAATAGTAATTAAAAATTAGTAAAAAATATATGGTTTCCCGCCTAAAAATTCATATTTACTAAATTGGGTAATTTTTTTGGCCAAATTTTGAAAAATTCTGCCTAAATTAATATAATTAATGTACATAATCATTTTGGTTAAATATTGCGGCTATTACATTTATTAGTTGCATGATTTAAATTTGCTATATAATATACATAATAAAAATAAAAAGATTTTTATTTAAAACTAAGAATTAAAAAAATAATTATTCATAACTTACGGGTCAATATTAACTTAGACGTAAAAGAAATAATCAATTATTTATAGTTTAATAAATTACTCGACTACTTAATTTTTTTGATTTGAAAAGTTTATACAAAAATAAATTTATAATAATTATTAAAACAATATAATTTTTATATTATTATTCACATAGGTTGTACAATTTAAAATTTATATAACATTTTCAATAAATTAATATAGGTAGATTATATTACATATTGATTCCATATTTTTAATTTATAAATATTATTTAATAAAAATTTTTAATTTACAAATATTAATGAATATCTCTTACCGTGCACTACACAGGGTTCATACTAGTTAGTAGTTAAACCATTGCTTTATGGTAATATAAAATTTAACTATAGGTATGTTTTATTTTTATTATAATTAAATAATTGCTACGTTTGTTTAATAATGTTTCGCTCTTAGAAGATCTTTGATCATGTTTGTTTATAAAAAGTTTTGGTTTTATTTGGATTTTTTGATTTGGTTTGGTTAATTTTGAAAAAGGTGGTATGATTAGTTGTTAGTTGATATATTAAAATAATATTTAAAATAAAATAATTAAAATTGATTTGATGTAAAAGTAGGAGAGAGAAATTTGAAGTGATGGTTAGTTAAAATAATGTGAGTGGATGAATAGTGAATTAAGGTTGACGTGGTGTATATGAATGATTGATTGATATTATTTAATTATATTGATAATTTTGATGATAGTGGGGTTAAGTTAAAGTTGAGTTAAAAAAAATGGTTGAGTTAAAATGTTGGAATTTTTTTAAAAAATTCTATAAAAAAACATGCTCACTGTTTCACTATATAAATCCACTAAACAATATTGTTTGGTAGACAACTTTTACATATAGTTTTTTTGGTCTATCCGCTAAAATAAGAAACGATGCTTTTTTATAGCGTTTGAGTTAGACGATCAAAATTAAAAAAGAAAAAAAAATCTTAATTGCTCACCCTGGAGTTAGGGATGTCAATAAAACCCATACGGTCGGGTGTTTATTGTGTTTTTGTGCTTGTTTTCGTGTATTTTTTGTGCCTTAGTCGAGTCTTTTTAGGAGTGTTTTAGTGTCGACCGGTCCATTTTATCGTATTTTGTGTATTTTCTATGCTTTTCTTTTTTATTTATATTTTGGCGTACTTTTCCGTGCTCTTGGGTGTATTTTCAGGTTTATTTCGAGGATGAAGAGAAGAGTCGAACCGAGTCTCAGGAGACGAGCTTTTTCAATGAATTCCGAATCATAGCCAAGAAGTTTCGAGCCATGTGGTACGAACCGTTCGCATTCCGAGTAAGTCAAGCCTTGTTGACCAAAGCCCCCAAGCTGGCCCTGGAACTCGTGAGCTCGTGCCTCAGTCCGCGCCCTCGAGCCACCGACGACCTCGCGGAAGAACTGGCGACCTCGAGAGTGCAAACGAACCGAGCGGCTCGCGAGCGCTCGAGTCAAAGCTCGAATCGAGCTCGAGCGGCTCGAGTACGAACTAGAGTCGAGTTCGAGTCCATATTTTGTCTTGTCGAGCAGTTCGTCGAGCGGCTCGAGATACATATAAATTACTAAAGTACCCATGTATATATATATTAGCATAGGTCCTTAATGGTAATTTTATCTTTCCACTTAAAACTTTTCGAGCCGAGCTCAAGCCGAGCTCGAGCATTTTGATTTCGAGTCGAGCTCGAGCCGAACTCGAGCTATTGTAATTTTTTATCTAGTCGAGCTCGAGCCTAAAAAATTGAGCTCGAGCAGCTAAAAAAAAAATCAATCCTGCTCGATAAGGCCAATGCTCGATTCGACTTGACTCGTTTGCAGCCCTATGCGGGAGAAGCCACGACGTCGAGAGTGCTTCTTCCCCGCGTCCGCACCCTCGGGAGATTTCGCGAGCTCGGGAGTGTTTTCCACCCACACGTCCGCGCGCGCGAGCTCACACGCGACCTCGAGAGTGCCCCTTTTTCTCGCACCGACCTCGTGCTGCCCTGTGCCAACCGACGCCCGTGACCAGCGGAATTTCCAGCGACCTCGGGAATGTTTTAGTAAATGTGCGTGAATCCAGTGTGTGTTTTGAGCTAGACCATAAATACATTTTGGTCCTTTGTATTTTGGCTATCTAGATTTCATTTGTCACTTTACCACTTTAGGAATTAAGCTTTTCTTTTTAGTTTTTCTCTCTTCTCTCTCTTGTGTGCTCTATGACATCATTTTCCGGCAAGTTTTGCGGCCACGTTTATTTTGTTCAAGTTCCGAACTTTTGACTCCGATTTTCGTCTAGCACGCAATAGAAGATTGGGTATTTACTTTTAAAGCTCATTACTTCAGTTTTTGCCTCGTTTTTACTTATGATGATTATCAAGGTGAATTTGAGTGTTTGTTGGATGATGGATGGGATGTTTGGACTTGATCATTGCTCTTGCTCGTTTTAGTAGGGACTAATTGCTTGCCTATCTAGATTAAGGGTTAGGACTGTATTTAGAGCTTAATCACTTAGGTTAGAAGGTTAGGTTAGTGACCTAGTGCTTAGAACTTGCATATTGTTCGTCGTTGAATTCATTTGGTTTCGATGGCATAAGAGACTCCGGTAGTGTAAATTGCTTTATTCTCTAGTTTACTTGTTGCTTTCAATTCCGAGCATCTATTAGCATTAATCCACTCTCCAATCTATTGATTAGCATGTTTAGCTTTTATTTTCTCATTTTGTGTGATTTGGACAATTGAGTGGTGAATGAAGTTCCGAACTATCTTCCTTTGAGAACGACTCGAGGTCGGGTAGCTCGATTACCAACTACCCACAAAATACTACAAAACATCGGGTTACCTGCATTTTCGGGTCGGATAACCCGAGATAATTGGGGTTTGGGTCGGGTTCGGGTAAAATTATGCTACCCGAACTCCGGGTGGGGTAGAATTATGCTACCCGAATCCCGTGTCGGGTCGAGTGCGGGTATAGTAGGTAAACCCATCACCCGACCCGTTTACTCGCAATACATACATACATACATACATACATATATATTTATAACTTATTATAAATATAAAATAGTCATGTGTTATTTTTAAAAATTAGATTATCTATTATAATTTTGATTAATGGTTAAATTTTATTTTATTTTTTATGATTTTATTATCATTTTTTGTTAATTGTACAATAAAAAATCAAATACTTAATTTTTAAATGTTATATTAATTATTAAATAGACTATAAAAGATAAATAATTATATCTCATTATTTATTCCAAAAATAATATATTTTTTTATAGTTTTTTATTGTCAAACTTAGTTAACAAATTATTTGTTACATTATAATTAATTGTGAAATTATTGTATTTTATTTTTTCATATGACACGAGATGAGTCGGGTAAAGCCCAAATTAAAGACTCGGGTTACCAGAAAAAAATCCACTAACCCGCCGGGTAAAACCCAACCCGAACCTGAAGATCATTAGCCGGTAACGAGTCGGGTTTGGGTAGGATAAATTATGTGCGGGTCTGGTTCGTGTTTGTCAAAACCCGTACCCGACACGACCCATTTACATCTATACCTGGAGTTCTCTTGTTCGTCCATTTTGCTTTCCCATTTCCAAAAGCAAAATCGCTCTTCCAAAAAACTCATCTATTCATGGGCATACAAAATCCGCGTTGTACCCCTTTTGGTTGCTCTTCACCGTTAGGACCACCGCCTCTGCCAGCACACCCTACTCTTTGTTTGTAGTTTTTAGCCGAGTACGATCTAAAGATCTCACGTGGATTCTAAAATTTAAACTTACATTTATCATCATCTTTTGAAAATTGAATAATATATTGTAGGCAACAATTTTTTAAATAATTTTAGACATGTTTTTTTTACAAAATAGTTTAGAAAAATTTTAGGTGACTTCACACCTTTAAATAATGATATATAAAATTTTAGATACTTTTCAAACGTTATATAGTACTTTTAGGTGATTTTAATATTCTAAACATACATTTTTTTATATTACTTTATATAAGATAATTTTATATATTGCTTACAATTGATGTACGATAAATTATGTCACATATTAACTCCACATCTTAATTTATAATTATTTGTTAATATTATTTACTCTCATATTTAATTTATAATTATTAGTTAACATTGTTTACTCTCATCTTTAATTTATATTATTATTTAATATTATTTACCAGTGTATCGCACGGGCCACGCACTAGTTAATCCATCAAAATTTTTAAATAAAATTTTATTTAGCAATAATTTTTATAGTATAATTTTTAGCTCGTATAGTACATGGATATTATTATTTT